TTTTTGGTTTTTCTCCAGTACCGGGAACCGAACTCACGACCTTGCACTTGCCAGGCAGGCGCTTTGCCGCTGAGCTAAATCCCCAGCCCCAAGAAAGACTTATTGAGAACACAAGAATACTGCTGGGATGTAGCTTAGTGGTTGACAAGGGTCGATTTGTAGGCTGCCACAGATTGTCCTCAGATACGTATATGAAGGCACATGGGAAGAGGTCTAAACTTTTAAAGAAGGATGTTTTGCTCTCTGGTTGAGCCCTGTTAGGAGGTGCTCCAAAAGGACAGAAGAATAGAAAACAAAAGTGAGAAGAATGCTCCCTCTTAAAATACTGATGTTTGATTCTTTCTAACCCAAAGGTACGGTGCCACAAAGCAAGGCCTGATGATTGAGAGATCCAGAACTTCCAAAGCTATTCCTAAAGGGACACACAGCCTTTAAACCAGCCCAAGGAGGTCTACTTTCCTAACTCAATGACAAATTTAAATAAATGGTTGACTTTGCTAGAGAAGTAGTCACAGGAATCCTGCGATAGTGGTTCACTGTGGCCAAGAAAGCATCCTATAAATTATTAGAACACTAATGTATTCTAGAAGTTACCAAATGCTGCCATGAAGTACTTTCAACCTATCCTACACAGTCCATGTCGCTGTCTAGGAGTCACAGGTGACAGCGACTTCACTGGCTTAGTAGTGTCTTCTCCTTTCCCTCTTTCTCACATTTTGAGGAGAGAGAGAGATCATGCTGGTGGAGAAACCTGCCGCCTTCTCTGATGGACTTGGAAAAATAAGAGTTGAGAGTCGCAGAATAATAATAGAGTAGGTGATGCCTGCGGGCCCGTAGGCTGGGGACGTGCCCGGGGCTCGGGCTCAGGCTGACTGGCCGGGAGCACACATCAGATAACTGGTATCTCCAGGAAGAAATGAGGAGTAACTGCAGATCTCCCCAGGGTTTTGACACAAACTGAGTATGACGCAGCAAGGAAAAGGAGCTATGAACAATGCCAGAAGTGGAGGAATCTTATTTTATGTTTAGTAGAGGAAAAAATATTCCAGAAGACATGAAGCTCTTAGACAAGGGTCAAAACAAAAACAAGACAGGAAAAAGTGTTCCTACGTGATAAAATAACAGCAACCACAAAAAACAATCAAGGATACACCCGAGGAATGAGCAAGCAAGGAAAAGACAGATGATTTTTAAAAAGCTAGCTGTATTGTAGGCAGTGCTGCAGATTTAGGTCAGCTGGTAAATCCACACGTCATCAATAGATAAAGTGAGCGTCATGCATGCAGGTGTATGAAGGCACCACAAGTAAGAGACTAGGATTTATCCAGCTCTGTGTATCCGAGGTCCAAAACAAACACCTGCGTGGTATTTACAGCACACCTATGCTCAGAAGCTTACATTCGTGTCTTTGATAGGCCATGAATCTCATAGTAAAGTTCTCATCACTTCCTATTCTGTTTTCCCCCTCTTATAATACATGCTATTATTGTTTTCCCTACAGATATGTGAGATGGAAAAAAGACACTGAAACCCAAATAGCACATTTGTCAGAACCAGGGAGTCAGACAGGTGTTAGTGAATGTTGATTCTTACCCCAGTTTTCTCATCAATTATTTTTATCCCAGATAGGGAAATGTTGACCCAGATCCTTTGTTTATGCTGCCCCTGCGACCGGCCAGCTGCTGCCATGCCCTGGTGAGATTTTGAAAGCAAGAAAGATCTAATGAAGCACTTTACAACGTTTCCAGCCCTAAACAGTTTCAAAGGTGGTTCTGCTTTCAGCTTGGTTTGCCATCTATGAGAGGATCAGACACCTCTTATCAGGGATGACAGAAAACACTGCGCAGGCATCACACGGTTAGCAATACGAACTAGAACACGTCACTCGGATTCTCACGGCCTCAGAATCGTCGCTGGTAGAGATAAGAAGGCCGGACTAGGAGTACTCTAAAGATGTTCCTGCTACCACTTGCATTGTTTAGTGAGTTATTACTTATTAACGAGGCTCATAGAATACCATTGAGGTTAAAAAATTTGAAACACAAAAAGCTAACAATAAAGAAAACCAGCATCCAGGTGGAGCCCTAGATTTTACTCGAGCATTTTCTGGGCAAAACAAAAGATAACTAACATTTATAATTGCACACAATGTTCACAGTTACCGATGACAGGGACTGCACGGACTGGCTTGAGTCTGCCAAAATGAGAAGCCATCGAGAGTCCCGCTAGCTGGCATTAAATCAGGTCTGCAGAACAGTGCTTCAGATGCGCAAACTCATGGCTTCTCCGAAGACAAGACACTACCCAATTATTTACGTACTAGAGCAGTTTTTCAGATGTCTGAGATACAGGTTACGAAAAGAGCTTCCCTCTATTGGACGTAGGCTTAAGATACAGGGAAAATATTCTTGTACCTTGAGTTTCATCATAGAATCTTGGCTCATTTTGTCCCCGCGTGCATCGGGCACATCATCAATACCGATTAGCTTGGCCTTATATTTTACACCATCACCTTTGAACCTGGCCAAGAGATACTCGTCTGTTTTTTCAGTGCCTGAGAAAATAGAAAAATACACAATAAAGTTTATATTTAGATACCAGTCCTAGGAATAACCAAATGTGCATCAGAATCTTCAGAAATTGAGTATAAATCTTGATCATACTGCATGTGATCATACATGGAATGTTCTATCCATTTTACTCTTATGTCTTTTGGGCAAAATCGTGCTCTCTAATACTGAACATAGAGCGGAGAGAAAATAAGCTCTTAAAGATACAAAACTGACCATGGCAAACTCATGGGAATATGCGAAGTAGACTTGGGGACAGACTTCAAAGCCTTCTAAAGGTATGTAAAGAGGATGATATGTATTTTTTAATGAAAGAAAAAAACTAGCAACCACACAATTTACTAAAATTCTGAACTAACAGTTATGCAGAAAGAAACTGTGGGTACTTTTCTGACTTCCTTTGCTCCTTTTAAAGGCTCTGTTCCAGAGCTCAAGAGTCTTAGTGAAAAACAAGCCCGGCATGGCATGTACTTCCACTCTGAATCATTAAGGACACTGCCACTTTCTGCTGGTACTTCATGTCAGAACAAGAGGGTCTCCTGAAACAGAGTTTCACTTTTAAAAAGTGGTGACTTCAGTGAAACAAGAGTGGTAAATAGATTACTGAAAGATGACTGTACCATTGATGGTATTATTACTAGCTGATAACTGTCACCAGAAGTTACACGTTTCCCAGTGGAACCCAAGTTGGTGTCATCACAGATGTGGGGTTAACCAACCTTTTCAGCCAACTGGTTTAAGAGAACTTGAGGCTAACCTAATGCTGTGGCAAAGCAAGCGACTTACTTTACCCAAAAAGTATGTCACATCGCTCCAGAGGTAACCACCTCTGGATCCCTTTACCGATCAAGAGGATTTTGTTCCATACCTTTCTTCTTTTCCTTTTTCGATGGTGCTTTTGGTGCAGCCTGTTGGTCAGGCTGACCATTGGTCGTGCTCGTTTCTACTTCGTTGGACATGGCGAGAAGGCCAGCAGCGAGTCCCAGCACCAGCAGACACTGAGCGACACTAGGTGATCCCCGACGGCTGAGCCTCAGATGAACATCACCTATGGCACACACCTGCGGGCACAGATGAGGCACGATGAGATCAGAACACAGCCAACGAAGGCTTTAGTATTAAAGACAGGGCTCAAAACCTTGCTGGGCTATAGGCTTGTACTAGGACTGCAGGTGTGGGCCACCATGCCCAGCTAAATATGTTGAGTTCTGAGCCTGATAAGATCGCAACTGGCATCTGAAAGTGGACATCATAAATTCCATTTCTTTAAAAAACTGCATAATTATAGAGGCAGTGTCAAGGGCGGGGTTCTGGCCTGAGAAAGGAGGCTGGTGGCAGAGCACTTAGCTCCCTAGTTCAGTTCCATTCCCAGCGCCACAAAAAAACTGAAGTTACGAATTTTATCTTATTCGTGTTGAAAACGTGGTAAAATATTAGGATTCTATTTATGATCTTCAGTGCTATCTGAAGCTTTAAAAGATGCTCATTTTTGATATGCACCCTTAAATATACCAAAGAAAAAATGAACTCACGAGGCCTCTTGTGCAATTCACTGACTAGAGATACCCCTGTGCTATGGTGCAGCACTACCATTCTCAAAATAGTTATGCATATACTCTCATAAAGCTCCCTGCTGTAGCACAGTAGGTAAAAAAGCACCGCACAGAGTGAGACATCTAACAAACAGCATGTGTTCCTATGCTGTGTGTTTGGCCCATGCTTAAATAAATGCAGGGAAGAGCGCAGAAAGAGGAGGGGTTTTGCTGCGGGTGGTCTTCTATCCCAAGGACCGTCTTCGGGACTGATGAGACGGAGCCTTCAGTCTGTGTCCTAGAAAGCCACTTTCTCACTCTGTGCTGTCCCTTCTCATCTATTGTGCAACAACATCTAAATACACAATACACAATCTGCAGGTAACTAGCGCTACTGAATTGTTTCACTGAGAGTTAGTATTAATTCTGCTCAAACACACCTCACTGATAATTAGCCAGGGTGGTGCACACCTATAATCCTTGCTATTTGGGAGGCTGAGGCAGGATGACCGTTTAAGCCCAATAATTTGAGATCAATCTGGGCAACAGAGCAAGACTCCGTCTCAAAAATGAAATGCTGAGCTTGATGGCACATATCTGTAATCCCAGAACTCTGGGAGGCTAAGGCAGGAGGATGACAAATTTAAGTCCAGCCTGGGCAAGTTGGTGACTTAATGAGCCCCTATCTCAAAAACTCAAAAACAAAAACAAAATGGGGTGGAAGAATATAACTCCGTGCAAAGGGTCTGGGTGCATGCCGTAGTGACGCGGGGGGGTGGAGAGGAAGTGGGGGGAGATTTGAGGTGCAGAGACTCACAAAAGAGAACCTGGTATGAAGACGAAGGCAGAGAACGGAATGATACTTCTACACACCAAGCAACATTACTGCCAACACCCCCAGAAGCTGGGAGAGAAGGTTGTCCCTCAGAGCTTCCAGAAGGAAGCAACCCTGTGATGTCCTGATCTTGGCCTTCTTCAAGACAGTGAAAGAATAGATTTCTCTTGCTGTTAGCCACCAGCTTGTGACAAGATTTCAGAGCAGCTCCAGGAAATGAACATATCACCTACAGGGTGCATGGTCCCTACATTTTGTTTCTTGGCAACATGATAAATACATCTCCTAGTCATAGCTGTACTCTTCTAATTTTAGGCAAATAACTGTTCTCTTAATTTCACAAACCGTTTTCCAAATCTAACAGGTGTTAGCCTATTTTAATAATAGCAGGAGACGGAATTAAGCTTTGATTGAAGGAGACACATTGACATTCATTCTCCCACACACCCCTTTCTCCCCGGAGAAATTATAACTTGCTCCAGTATCACCTTAGAATAAAGAAAACACTTTAGTGAGACCCATTAGCCTTCTGATTATCATCTCACCGTCACTTCAGGGTTCAGTATCTCAAACGGACAGCCTTGTACCTCTGCCTTCTCCCAGCCCCTTCCTCTCAAAGCACTACGTCTCAGCCCTCTTTTAGGTCGCCTGCAGCCCCAGTGGTCTTCTGACCAAACTCACTCACTCTGCTTTGCACTCTTTGGGGGAATCTACTGCACTCGTCAGGAAACTGTATCTTCTCATGGGCATTTCTTCCCCTGCTGATTGCTCCTGTGAGAAGGTCTAGGTCATGGCTTGTATTTGCTGCATCAGGGTATCACAGATTTATTTTTTTTTTTAATGATGAAGCTTCTCTAAATATTAAGATGAAGTTAAAAATCTCACTGGTTAGTCCGGCAGTGGCCCCCTTTGAATAGGGGAAAGACTTAGACTTTCACAGGCTCTGAAATATTTGTTCCTCCTCATCTTTACCTTCATTTCCTTTCCCTCCCTGTGTACCAACCCCGAGTCCCCTACTTCTGTTAGGATGGTTATTTAGCATTCTCAGATTTGCTGAGCTTCCTGTTGTCTCACATGCTGCTTCCCCAGTTACCCGTTTGTCCCTGAAGACGGAAGGAAGACCTCTCTCCGAAGCCTTCCCAGTCCTCTGTAAGCGCACACACTACTGCGTGCTTCTCACACAAGTCTACCCCACACTCATCTGCCTGCCCCTGCACTATCATCTCCTTGAAGAGCGGAGACTCACTTCTCCCTATCTGGCAAATAAAAGCTATTTGTGTGAATGATAAGGAGGACTGTTGGAGTTTTACCTATCTTCTTCTTTGTCCATTCTTTTTTTTTTTTTCCAGTACCAGGAATTGAACTCCCGACCTTGGGCTTGCCAGGCAGACACTGCCTCTGAGCTAAATCCCCAGCCCCTATCTTATTTGTTTGGGGTTATGTGTGCAAATTTGAATATATTACCTAGTTTCCCTGTCTCTCCACCTCTCCTTTTAACATAAATTTTTTGGAAGTAAATGAGTAATTCTGTCTCTAGGTAGAGACTGTTCAGATGGGATAGTCTCTGTATTCTAGGAGTGGCAAATGTAGCCCAAGGATACAAACTGTTCTCCAGTGGTGGTGAGAATGTCAACTAGGACTCTGAGGCTTCTCAGTTTGGAGACAGGGTGAGAACACCTTTGTCTGAGAGAAGGACAGTGACTCTGTGTCAGGTGGAAACGCCCGTTTGGTGTGGGGAGCAGTTCCCAGTGTAGAAGGGTGTGTGAGACGCTGGTGACTGGTTCCAGTGGTGATCTGTGCTTCAAAGCTACCTTCACATACACCTGGCTCTGTGATGCTGGACCTGGGCCTCGGCCAACATTTCTGCTCTACCCGCTGGCCACGTGTGAACTCTGCCCTTACGGGAAGAAGGGAATTGCATATTTCTGTTTGCCTCACGCTGCCTCCTCATGGCTTGTGCCTCCTGTGAGTGTCAATGTTAGCAGAGATCCCTTACCCTCGCAACAAGAGTCTCTTTCTGTAATAACTGCGGAGTCCACTTTTCAGCAGCCTCATCACATTGCCCTTGAAGGACGCACCATCAATTCCCCTCCTCATCCAGCCCATAGTCCTAGGTCTTCAGAGTGTGGAGATCTCAGTGCTAGCCGAGCAGCACCCTTCTCATATCTGAGTAGCAGCCCCACGGAGATTCTCCTCTTTCAACTTTATAAGCTTTGATGATTCCAATGCCTTCCTTTGTGTCTGCAGCCCTAAGGGTGGCAGTTATCTTCTGTAGTTTGCCTACCCAGTGATAATCTAGTCCTCTTTCACAATTCTCTCAGTTAACAGCTAACAACTTTATGCCTCGTTAATGCTTAACATCAAGAGATTTTAAAACAATGGGTTGGACTGACTCCTAACTGATACAGTGGCAGCCCCTTTGGATCCTAAGGTCTAAAGAACTGTGTCCACCTTTATAGGCCTTTAGAAATTGTTTTAGTTTTTATGATTACATTTACATACTTCGATATATCCATTTTTAATTTCCTAGGCCAAGAACAAGAACTGTAAGAATGAATAGAATGATTCTGTTCTCTTTACGGGAGGCACCTGGAGTATTCGTGTGGTTATAGCTTCAAGTCTGTCTTGTTTAGGCCTTGTTACATTGAGTTCAACAATCCACATGCTGACGGCAGAGGCAAGATGGCTCAGAACCAGGTGGAATCACTGACTGAAAAAGTAACCTGGGTATAAGAAGTTTTTGTCACTTTGTGTGCCTGGCATCATAGTTTCTACAGGGTAGCACTTCTGATGAGAGAAACTTAGCTCATTACATCTGGCAATTTTTATTCTAAAGTGAGAGTATTTTATATGAATTTCAGAAGCACCACAAAGCATTTTAGCAGATGTGGGGGAGGGATGGTAGCTTGTGCGTTCGGTCATAAAAGTAATACAAGACGTAACAAGCATATAACATTAGGTATCAAATCTAGTCCTAGCAGACTGGGCCAAATGGAAGGGTTTAAGATGAGCGGTGTTACCTTGCTACAAGTTTTTACAGCAAAAACTTCGCTCTCCACACACTAAGTACAATGAAAGCACTAGAAGTTAAGAGGTATTTTGCTTCCTTAAACTATATCCTTTATTATTTGTAATTGAACAAGTTACAAGGGACAAGGTGTAAAAATGTAGGGAAAAAAAGTTTCTTTAGTATGAATTTCCTGAAAAAAAAAAAAATGGATGTATATGCTGAGTTGCAATAACAAGGATAAACTGGAGGCTACGCAGTCAAAAAATATATCTAGTCTCTGAAATGTCCAGTAGGTAAGTAGACTTGCCTATAGGCCCTTCAAGACATAAACTCCTTTCCGAAGTAAATGTTCAAGACTTCCCAAAATAGTTTAACAGAAGTGTGCGTCTAGTTCTGCACACACCTGAAGGATAAATATTCACCCTTCTTCAAAGGGGCCCAAGTAACCGTTTGACCTTCCATGCTCTAGATGAAAGAAGGCTTGCTTACAGACTCAGATCCCTCTGTAGAAAATAACCAACTTAATTCAACATCAAATGCACAGTCTTTCCAACAATGTTACAGAATTATCAACTGTGCCCCTAAAACCTCTAAAGGGTTTTAGAAAGAATTGATTTTTGGAAAGAGAGGAGACCCGGAAAAGGGATCTGAGGGTCAAAAGATGTCCTAAGAATTTCCTTTAAGTACCTTCTCAAACTGAGGAATTCCTGAAGAAAACATCTAGGTTACATTATGTGATGTGGTTTGTTTTAAACCTCTCTATGATAACAATTTCTTATAGTGGAGAAGCTGTGTGTGTCGGACAAAGAAGTCTACAATCTTTCTTTTCTCAGGTTGAGTCACAGGCCCTTCTGATGGAAGTAGCCCAGAATGCATCACCACACACAGGGCATCAACATAAGGCAGGGATGACAAATTAGACCTCACAAATACACACAGGTTCACATGAACAGTCCCCTGACTAAACATAGTGGGCATGTTAGTCTTGTTCTCCAGAACAGGCTGTTTCCCTTCGTTAGAAGAATAAAAAAAGAAATAGGAGGACAAAGCTGGAAAAAAAATGAGAACGTAAAGTTATTCAACATTTTTGACTCTTAAGGCTTCATATAAACTAGGCTTCATAGAAACACAACTTTGCTAAATCAGTATAATTAGTTTCCATTTGAATGAAGCTATCTGACTTGGATTTTGGACTTAAAACAAACTTCTTTGAAAAAATATGGGGACTTCTCCCATCTGTAGTCCTGGGATCAGATGACTGGGAGAGATCTGGGACCTTGCAACATCTTTCCTGCTTTCAGAGAAGACTCGTGGAGATGTAGACCAGGAGAGGCTGCATGAGTCATCCTCAAATGACTGTTCTTGTACTAATAAAATTCAGCTAGAGTTTGTTTAGTTCTTAAAATATTTCTGTAAGCCAGGCATGGTGGCACATGCCCATAATCCCAGCACTTGGGAGCCTGAGGCAGGAGGATCGCCATGAGTTTGGGGCCAGCCTGGGCTACATAAGCAAGTTCGAGGGCAGCCTACAGAGTGAGACCCTGTCTCAAAAAACAACATTTTTCTTGTAAAATATTTAGTATTCTGCACATCAGGAAAGCCAGCATGGTGGACAACAGTCAGTGTAGGCCCTGTGGGGGCCAATCTGGCTGACCTGTTTACCCTTCTTGCCAGTGGGACTGCGTCATATTGGCAATAGTACTATTTAATGATCCAGGGCTGTGAAGCAATTATCATGACACAAAGTTTCTGCTACTCTCCCTACCTTCTTACCTTAATCATACAGAAGTGGCAGGAATTTGCTTGGTCAGTCTGAAAATGCTGGAAAAAGGAGCAACAAGTTAAGGATCTAACTGGAGCCTTATTCCACAGGTGACAGATAACGTATTTTTACAGTGAAGAGGAATGGGATAAATATGTAAAACAATAAGTCCTCCTATGCACAGGTTCCACTTCTGTGGGTTCAAAAAACAAGATCAATAATTGGAAAAATACAGCTTCTGTACTGAATGTGTACACATTTTTTTCTTACCATTATTCCCTAACCAATAAAGTTAAAACAACTATTTACATAGCATTTATATTGCATTAGGGATAATGAATACTCAAAGATGATTCAAAGTATACAGGAGAACTGCACAGATTGTACTATAGGAGATACTTGATTATCTAAGGATATACTGGTTTCCAACAAAAGCCTGTAGATACAGAGGGATGACTGTGTACATTTATACTGAAAGCCCTAGGAGAAAATTGAGCCTCCATTTTATGAATAATGCACTTAAATCAGTAACACAAGATGCATCTGTAATAAGCTGGTGGGTCCAAAACTGCACATAACTTGCATTCCCTTTTCTATGTTTTTCTTTTCTTTTTCTTTCCTTCAGTCACACTGATTTGAACCTGTACTTTCCAAAATTCATAATCCCATTGCCTTTAACATGCTGGTAAGATTTTTAGGAAGAACCACATAAAATAGACCCTGGGAAGGAAAATACGGAGGGTTTATAACAAAGCAATAGCAGGATGGAAATGTGCAGTGGGCAGTGAGCCCCTCACCCCCAAAAAGGGTAAAAAGGGGGAGGACGGCACAAGGGGCCTGATGCGGGTGGAAATGATCAAAGTATACCACGTGCGTGTGAGAATCTGAAAAATGAAACCCATTAACTGCTGTAATCAATAAAGAGAGAAAGAAAAGAACAAAGCAACACGGACATCTTTGCTTAGAATGCACAATACTTTGTTCAGGACACAGAATGTGCTTGTTTGTCCTTGGAATGTTATGTCTGCCTCAGCTGAAGTGCTGAATAGGACGTGTGAAACATTAACCTTTAAGACAAATCCCAGGTCCAAGAGGGCAGTGGACGGCTTCACCACCACCTTCAAGGCAGCCTTCTGAGAATGAACACACTGCCCGGGAGGCTACCGCAAAGTCAGGCTGGTGTTGAGCGTTGCTACAAAGACTTCCTGACCCTTCACTCTTCAGTTCCTACCCTTTTAGAATGGTGTTCTACTCTGCAATGTCAGGCTGTGCGGACAGTGAGATCCTGGCAGCCTCTTTTGCTAGGCAATGCGACCATGTCATTGTATCCTGAGAAGCAGTCCTCAGAAGATGTTACTGTAAATGCTGACGCTGCTGTGGGGGCCTCAGCAGCAGGACATGCCCAAGTCAAGGAGCCAAACACAGGTTAAGCGTTTACATGACTGGGTATCACTGCTTTCACCCCCTGGAGAAGCTGCTGTGAGACTTGGGCAATATCTAAGAGTCTCAACCAAGAGTCTGAACTTTTCTGTTTTTGGAACCAGACTTAAGAGCTCTTCAGACAGTTCATTTTGGATGAGACAGCACAGCAGCCAAGGGTTCGGGCTTAAAAGCCCCCACTTAGCTGGGAATCACAATTTCGTAGCTCTGTGGTTCAAGGCAACTCATCATATGTTTTTTTTTCATCTGCAAAATGGGAATTTAGTTTGCTGAACTGTCAGAAAAGTGTACAGACCTCTGTGCTTAGCATAGAAAGTGCTTAACAAATAGCAACTATTGAACCAAAGCTTGGCTTCATGGAGCTGTATGTTCTGTAGTATTGCAAGTTGGGCTTCATGGAAGCTATGTTTTGGGGAGCACTGCACTGCACTGAACATTGTTTTTCTTTTTGTCTTTTTGAGACAGGGTCTTGCTATGCAGTTCAGGCTGGCCTTGAGCTCACTTTGTAACCCAGGCTGCTCTCAAACTTGGCAACAATCCTCCTGCCTCAGCCTCCTGAATGCTGGAATTAGAGGCGTGTGCCATCAAGTCCAGCTTCAACATTGTTTTTCTACAGCAAGTGTTTAAACACTTTTAGAACAAAATAATATGCAAATAATCATAACGGATCATAAGCAGAAACATGGAACGCAGTAGTACTTTAGTTAGGAAAGCCCAGGTGAAAAGGTGAACTGTTTTGCCCAATTGAGAGCCACTTCCCACCCAGCTCTGGTTTCAAAGCCTATAGAAGGTTCTGACAGGAATGAGACCGGGCACAGAATCTCTGCCAAGTTACCACCCAGTGTAGGCTTTTCCAATGCATCTTAAGTCAAATCCATGTCTCTACATCATTACCATGGATACCTTAAAGAGAAGATCACCTGGGGAACTCCTACTGAGGTGCCCTAAAAACAGTGACATGCACACTGCTCCCAGACCAATGAAATCAGAAACCCTGGCAAGAGAGGTCCAAGCATCAGCATAAAGATCCCAGATGACTCCAATGCACTGACAAGCGTGTAGGCCCTAGGGAATAATTCACTCTGTCTTTCATTACAAAGATTAACGGGGCTGGGGATACAGTTCAGGGGTATAGCACCTGCCTCCCATGCATCAGGACCTGGGTTTGATCTCTGGCGCAATAAATAAATTTTTAAAAAAGATTTAAAAACTGAAGACAAGAACGAACACATGATTTGTCTACTTATTAAATAGTTGGTTGGGAGAGAGTGGCTACCAGGAAAGGTCTAGATCCTAGAATGAGACTATCGCCCTATTCCTAGACATAAAGTGTTACTTTTAAAAATTATTTTTAAACCCATTGCATGGAGTCTGAACCAGGAGTGCTGTCCAGGGCTGCACAGGTAACGCAGTGCGAGAGTGCTTGTCTTATCACACACGAGGCCCTGGGTTTGAACCCAGCATCACAAAGGAAAAAAAATGAAGCAAGTGAAGCACAAGATACAGCAAACAAAGCACAAGACAATAGCTCAGCAGAGTAATTTGAATATGGCGTTTCATAGATGTTTTCTGAACCAAAACAGAAAAGATTTTTACGTGGTCTAATGACACATTGTCACCAAATCGTTTTTGCTTATGTAGCAGGAATCACCTAATGAACCTGCCCTATTTATCTGGCTGCTTTGCTAAAGTCTGAGTGAGACACAGCTCACAGATCAAAGAATTTAATTTATTTAATTACATTACTTACTATTGTCTGTGTTTTCTTTTGCTCTTTCTTCTTCTGTTAAAGCATAATAGGAAGTCTGAGTTCCAGAGTTGGCAACTTTCAATATTCTTTATTCATTATTACCTCTTCTAATTGGGCACCCACCCCCAGCCACTGCGTTTTAAAATTAACTTTTACTTAGGAATATCTCCTGTTTGGGCTTCTGGAACGCCACCGCCGTGAGTGTCCAAGGTTAAATTGTGAAAGAGCTCCACGCACCTCCGTAAAGGCCCATTCTCTAGACTGGGCTGCGCCAGTCGTTCGTGGGCTGTGTCTGAAAAATGTTCACAAGTCAAACTTGAAAGTTGCTTGAGTTAATGATTGGTTTTGCAACCTATTTTTACCAGTTGTTTCAGCACAATGATACATTAGGTCGCACACGTTGCTCCACTCACCTGGGAAAAAGAGGAAAAAGCGGTCTGTCTAACCACAGCATATTCTAGCCTCTTGGCAAAGTCCGCCACAGGTTAATATGCTTGAATGAAGATGCAAAGAGGGATGATTCTAGAATCCTTCATTGTTCTTACTTAGATTCTAGGAGGAGGATAATATTGGAATGTCCCCGTGGTCTTCTGAACATGGGAATTTTTATAAGTGCAGACAGGGGAGGCTTGAACTGACGCTAGAAGTAGACCTAGCTCATGGCTGTACCACCCTGAACATGTCAAATCTCATCCAAAAACACAGCCAGCTCGGCCACAGCATCCCACCCAATGCACCCGATTTCTCCAGTGCGGTCTCCTGGAGTTTTACACTGAATGAAACAGGAAAAGTAGAATCCAACGTTCTCCTGAATCTCTATATAAGGAAATGGCATTGGAACTTCGGTTCACAGTGAGGCTCAGACAGTACATTTCCGTCATCGCTGTGTGTGGCTGGCGTTGGCATTTGATTATTCTGGTTGTGGCCTACCGTGGTCACCCTCAGGATCGAGACCACCTGGGGAGGTGTGAGATCTCTGTGTATCTCTAGTGAGCTGCAGGGCAGCGTATGGGCACAGCTCGACACGGAAGCAGCGGGGATTTCTGATCTAGTGTACACTGTGCCTCGACACAGCCCTCTCAGAACGCTGCGCGTAGGGATTCCTAAGCACTGGTTCCAACACCCATTTGGTATGTGTTTCTTTATATGCTGTTCTTCTGGTATTTCTCCCTCAGGAGCCATGTACGGAAGAGAAATTGGTGAGGCACTGGCTGCATCTTTAAACCCAACGTCATAATTTAAGCACCACCTTGAACCATCCCGTTGGCTGCTTCGCTTTTGTCTTGTTTTGTTTTTCTTTTCTTTTCTTTTTTTTTTAAGACAGGATCTCACTATGTAGTAGTTCAGGCTGGCCAGGAACTCACTATTAGCTTAGGCTGGCCTTGAGCTTGAGAAGATGCTTCTGCCTCAGCCTCCTGAACCTCCTTGTGCTAGGAATACAAGTGTGTGCCACCACACCCAGCTTGCTGCTCTTTTGTTTAGGGAGATACTGAGTCAAGTAACAAATGAGCCACCAGTGATCCCTATGAATTCAGAGGAATAGCTATTAAGAACCCATTACTCTGGGAGAAAGGATAATATGGCCTTGGGGGGAGTGAAAATGATCTAACAAAGGCTGCCCTTTCCTCTATGCTTTGGGCTTGAAAGCTCAAAGGTGGTGGAGAACCTGACAAGCAAGTTTGTGCAGTAGGCCAAACCTTTTCTGGGAGGTGGCCAGTGGACTGAGGTGTCTGACGGGGTGTGGCTTAAGGAACAAGGGTGGCGGGGTTCCAGATGGGTCGGGGTGAGCGGTCTAGAGTGAAGACTGGAGCTCCAAGGTTAGGGTTGAAAACTAACCAGAAAGGAAGTGTCTCGGCACTGTGGGTCCTGGTATGAGAGCAGGTGGGTGGTGATGGAAGAGCTGCTTGACTAGACGGCCTTGGGGGTGCAGAGCATCTCTGCTGAGCCCTCCCCACACCAGGCTGTGCTCCTGCAGGACCTGCTGTGTCACCTGAGTCCTTTCTTCAGGGGCTTTCAAAACCCACCAAGCTTGAGTAGTAGCTTGGCAACGTGGGGTCTGTAGTAACAGTAACCAGAAAGTTTAAGAAGCAGCTCACGGAAGAAGGACATGAAATAGTGGAAGTATTCCTAGGTAACCAGAACAGGTGCAATGAGTGAACCAAGTTTAAAATTTGAATTCAGAAGGACTTTATTTTGTATCATTAGATAGTGAAATGGAACACTATGTTTCTCACCCCAAATCCAGTGGGAAGAAAGTGTTCTGAAAAGAATGAATAATTTATATAAACATTTTTAGAGTTTTTGAGATTTTAAAAAAATGTACAACTATAGACACATAAGTGCCTAAAATATTTCTATTTCAGGGCCTTTGGGGCAGAGGCAAGGGGTGGGCCATTGTCAAAGAGATACAAAAACACAGTGAACACGTGATTTTTACTTTATATTTGGCAGCTAAGTATACAATAGATATTGTGCTTGACTCTTACAGGAAAAGGCATTCAGAAAGCTAATGAGTCAGGCAAGGCGAAAAGGCTCTGTCACAGAACCACTGGACTCCTGGGTAAACGCACAGACGCTGTTCGCACCCTTCCTAACCACCCTCCCCTTACCTTTGGCCAGGTATACAAATTGGCCAGTGAGTACTGTATTGTTTTTCTGGTTATCCCTTCTAAGTCAGGTTAGATACTGCTATCAAAACTAACTTCTAAAAAAAAAAAAAAAAAAAAAAAAAACTAACTTCTTTTCCTAGTTCCAAACTAGTTCTGAAATGAAATCATATATAAAAATCATAGCACTGTTTCACAGAATATTCAACTTATGCTTTCTCATTCTCGTACAAACTAATCCCGAAGAAGTCCACACGAGTTCGCAGCAGATCCAGCGTGTGGGCCTCAGGACACAATCATTCATTCGTCTACTGAAATCTATCCATTTATCCCTCTACGACTCCCCCTATAGCTTCAATAAATCTAAACTGTTACACACATTCCATTTTCTACTCAACTACCACGACAGTAGCCACCTTGAAAGTCTATGTGATGTTACAAGGGCCAAAGGAAGCATGTTATTTAGAAGCATCTATGTTTTAAACATTACCCTATAAATGCAAAGCCACATACACTGGTGGAATTATTGTATGACATATAACACACCAGGGCACTTTAAAAGCAAGCAGGTAACCTTAAACTTTTCCTCTTTCAAAAACCAATGCAAGAAATATTGCCTGATATTTGGTTACTCCTTTAATAGCCTGGCTGAATTATATAAAATTCCAATGTGGTTTCCCTTTCCAGGCAGAGCCGCACATTTCTATAATCCTCAAAAGCCAATGCTTGAATGTTTCTGTACCTTTCTGTAACTCAGGTTTCAGGGCCCTGCTGAGCTTCGAAGAGTTTAAAGGAAGAAGAATCTAGCCGCCTTTAACCTCGGAAGAGCGCAGGCACACTGGGTGCATGTAGTGATTGTACACAGACAGGTGGAATTCTGTGTCGTTGTATTTCTGCATATGCCACAAAACCCTGAAGAAACTCTTACACAGACCAACACGAGATCGGTACGTTATCTGCCTCTGATCCGCCCGGTCAAGGCTCTAGGTGGCGTTTTGGTAGAATATGCCCTTTGTTGTGGTGTTCACTTTACCCTGGGGGCTGGCGTTATTCTTCCGTGAGAAACTCATCACTGGCTCACATTTCCAACTGTGATACAATCTGTTCTAGTTGGGCAAGATTTTTTAGCCAACAGGCCATTCAGGCTTCACTTCCAAGAATACTCTTGGCCCTATTAAACCCAATGGTTAATGATACATGTTTTAAAAAAATCATTTTGTGTTTACTGTTATCTTGTGCACTCAATAAATCAATTTTCACTTTAGCTGATTTTTCTTATAACAGATTTGTTTGCTTTCAAGTAAGATAAAGGAAAAGTGAGTCATTAAAATTAAAAAGGAAATGGGCATGTGGTGCACTTCGGAGGCTGAGGCAGGAGGATCGCCATGAGTTCAAGGCCACTCTGGGCTACACAATGAGTTCTAGGCCGGCCTGAACTACATGGAGAGACCCTGTCTCACAAACCAAAAACAAAGATCAAAAAATACAAAAGGGAGTCAGACATGGTGGCTCATGTGTATATTCACAGCTACTTGGAAGCTCAGGTGGGGGGATCACTTGAGTCTAGGACTTGAAGGTCAGTCTGGGTAACAGAGGAGACCCAATAATTGATGAAAATAGCAAAACACTTTCTATTTATCTGTCGAATTTCAGGTTTATGGAGAACCAGAAGCCTGATAAATAGCCCTCTCCCCCTCCAAACACGAATGTTCTAGTGTCCTGCGGGTTAGGAAGTTTTCAGAATGTTATTTGAAAGGTCAGGAGAGCTCTTCCAGAAGGAAAAAGAGTATTAGGCCCATTTGCTTACTTCTTGGTTCCTGACCAAACTAGACTGGTTAACAATAAGATAACCTTAGATAATTTCAGGTTTTTGTACTTAAAATTTTAAATTATCTTGCTTCCTCAGGTGATGTTATTACTACCTCAGTCTTAAAAATTTAGAGCATAAAATTCAGAAAGTGTTGAAATGGCTGATTTAGCTTAGGATTATTGGGAAAGAGAGAGAGAGAGAGAGAGAGAAAGAGAGAAAGACATTTGCAACCACCATTCGAGAAAGGTGATTCAAAGAACTCGATGTTAGAGAGATTTCAGGACAGCTCCACCCATGCGATCCCAAATAATAAACAATGCTGTGCACCTAAAAAAGCCTTTGGGAAGTCAATTTCTATACCACCTGTGGCAAATCATTTAAGTGACCTTTACAGGTAAAATGCATAGCAGTGTTTCAAAGAACTGAGATTTCTTAGGAAATGAATACACCGCTCCCTGGTCTTATTTACTGGCTACAAATAATCTAAGAACACAAGGGAAGACCTTAAGTACACCTTAATCTGTACAGGGTTCAAAAAAACTTGTTCTAAAAACAAAACAAAAAGCTTGTTCTAGCATTTAGTGAGTGACTTTGAACATTTTCTAATACACATATTCCACTGGATTGTTAAGTACTGTACTAGCATCATAATTATTACAGGGCTAAGTGGAAGAGGAAAAAAATTTGTACCAGCTGCATGTAAATAAGATATCCAAGAAAACTATCCTTATTTATCATGAAACAAAGATCTCAAAGTCTCAAGTTTCATATATTTAGTTCACTTACTATATTTTCTTTTTTCTTTTATGTAGTTCAGGCTGGCCTTAAACTCAGTATGTAACCCAGGCTGGCCTCAAACTCCCAGCAATCCTCCTGCCTCGACTTCCTAAGTGCTGGAATTACAGACATGAGCCACCAAGGCTGGCTTGGTTTTTCTGTTTTTTTTAAGGTAAGACCCTGAGATGGCATTAAGGAGTAACTTTAAGGAACCTTGAAAAATACTAGTTTTCTTTTTCTTACCACTGAAAATAATATTCTTTTTACTTTTGATCTAGACATCAGTCTATGAGATTGCAAAAATTAGTGTCTTAACCTTATTATTAATATGAAATACTACTCATGTACTACGCTGTCCCTTGTGAACTTTGAATTGGTAGGCTGGTGATTCAGTTTGGATATTTTATAAGGCCATACATTAACTAAACAAATCATCAAATCATATGGCATCAAATAAACTGCTATTTTCCACAGGCCTAAACTATTTGAAACGATAAATTTACATACTAAGAGAGTTTCGTCTTTCTGGGTTCTTAGACTATGAAGATTTATTTACATGACCTATGGCTGTGTCTTTTAAAATGTTTTATTCAAAATCACCTCCAGCTGCAGTGTTTTAGGGTGAATCTAATACAGGTAACCTTCCGCTCCTTGGTTAGTAAAGGAGTTTAATTTATGTTAGTAATGTAGTTTACTGTGTTATCATACAGTTGAACTAAAGAAAAAGAAAAAAACACCCTATGAGTTATCTTCATTTTCTAATGACCAGAATACTGGCAAGAAATCGTTCTTCCTACTGAGTGCAAACCCGCGTGGCACTCAGACTCAGGATCACTTCAATGATCAATTCTTGACGTTAGGGAAAAAGATTGATTTAAAACTCTTGACCTGCCACTGGGACACCCTCTCGGACAGCAGACTTGGGATGAGACTTCTTCCTTTCCGTTTCCTCCCAGGCTCACTGAGTGCACACCATTCTTACCGGGTGCCACCGCCTTTTTCAGATGCCCGATCATGAGGTGCCACCCTGGCACACGGTCTAGCACAAGATGAATGAACAGGAAGAGCTTCTCATTGAATGCCACTTTGTTGAGTTTCAAGTGAGACTCTTGGGCCTTGATGAGCTATTTTTGCTTACACTGAACTAAGCAGGAATATCAACATCAGTGGTCACTCTAAGGGAAATATAAAATGTATATTTGAGCAAGACGTTTTATTCCCTCTCTTACCTCCTACGTTCCCTTGAAACAGTCTCCTCTCTTCTCTGGACCACTAATGACCTGTTGCAAGATCCTGCACCTGCCAAGCAAATGACACCTCAAAAGTTTAGGAAAATACAGGGTGACATAAGTGATTAGACATAAGTGATTATCCAGTTGTAGCCTGTTGCTAGGGTCCCTATTTGGCCATTAAAGAAAGGTAACTTGAGTTGTTTCTTGAAGCTTCAGGCAGATTTATTCTATGGTGGCATCTGCTATTTTCTGCTCCTGTTATGTTGGCATATTTAGCATCAAAGAATGCAATTAGATCACTTGTTTCCTTAGTTGAACTCTATAGCCCTATGCAAAGAGAAGTCTTCTTTGAAAGCCACTATTAAGTTCCTAATCCAATCTTTATTAAAAAGCTCAATACTATAAACAAGGTTAAGACAAATCCTCAAAAAAAGTGATCAAGCTCTTGAACACCCCACAGAAACATTATAGTGCCGCAAAATCTGAAATCAGGCAAATGGTGATAGTTGCAGTGGTTTCTAACCAGCAATGTCTTCTTAACTAACATACTGCAGAAGTGTGCAGAGAGCTCCCAGAAGAATCATGAAAGAAACAACACTAAAAACTTTGCTTAAGCCGGGCATGATGGCGCACACCTTAATCCCAGCACTTAAAAGGCGGAGGCAGGAGAATCGCTGCAAGTGCAAGACCAGTCTCAGCTACAAAGTGAGCTCAAGGCCACCCTGAGCTGCGTAGGAGACCCTGTCTCAAAAAGACTAAATACATAAATAAATAAAAAGTTTGCTTGCCCCCACAAACACAAGCAAAGCTCTACTTTTAGGGCTAACTAACAGACAAGAGTAAGAATTAAGCTTCTTTCTCAGATCCAGTCTCTCCAGTGATGAGATCCTACTCTAAATTCCATTTTGGAGAAATTCCTTTGAAAGGGAAGAAAAAAGGCATCCCTTTTGACGCTGAGGCCTGTCTTCGATCTCACACTGTGACTTGCCAGTCTGGGTAAATCGTAGCTAGTTCAGATTTTGCTCTGAGGCTGTGGTTCTAGAAAACTTACAAAGGTCTTCAAACATAGTCTTATCGTTGTTATTGTTGTTCAAAGAGCATGAGGTCTAAGGAGTCCACCCTCCTCAAAGCCATAGGGTTTAGAATGGAAAGAAAGTTTTCTGCTTAATGCCAGTGATCTGCTCAAGCAAGTTACTTCATGTAGTCAATCTGCGTCCCTACTATGTGCCAGGTGTTTGTCTGGAGCTTGGGTTACATCCGTAACCAAGCTTTAGGGGCTTACGCGCTAGCAGGGGCGAAAGGAAGAACTGCTTTATAGACTTGCAGAAGATGATGAATGCTTTGGGCAGAAAAAGAACAGAGGAAGGCGATTTGGGACAGCAGCGTGCGGGGTGGCTTGGGCAGTTTCCTCAGCAACACAAAAGGAATAGATTTTTAAAAATTGTTTGTTAATGTTTATTTCACACCAGTTGTGATGTTAAGACCCTGCCATTGAACTCTCTGGGGAAGACAATGCAGCACCATTCTGACTTGACCAGAGAAGAAGTGGGAACGCAGCAGTTCAGCGACCTTCTGAAAGACACACATCTAATGCCTGAGCTTTAACTTTTTTGTCCTGGACCAATAAAAGCGAAAGAAAGAAGCAAGCTAGTTCTTCAATGCTAGGTAGAACATGTAGTAGCTAGAAAATCCACTGGGGAAGAGGAATTCATAGTCATCATAAAGGTTATTCATGTGAGCTTGGCAAAGACCTGAGGCTGGGCTGGGCTATTCTGGGGTAAGGTTGAAAGGTGGGTCAAGCAGGATTAGGGGGTTTCTGGTACTCTCCACTGTCTGGACAGTACTGGGGAGACTCTGAGGTTTTGAGTGATGGTGTGGAGGTTGGGATGGTGACAAATCTTGAGTACAGGGAGGCATCAAAGGGTCAGATGGCTTTGTAGTGTGACAGCTGCATGGACTTGCCACTTTGAGTGATTCAACACTGCCAGCTTCTTTCTCTTAACTACTTGGCAAATCTTCTAAAAACAAAGGCTTTTCATTGAAAGGTTAAGGTCTAACAATCTCAAATGTCAAATTCAAGGTTATCCTTTCTTGACAAGCTATGTTGCTCAGTGACCCTCAAACTTCAAATAAACTAATTGTCCTAAAGATGGCCTTTAATAAGTTCAAAGGCTATTTATGTCTTACAACCCTCATCATAAGACCAATTTAATTCTGCAAAATAAGGACTTCCCGAATGTCAGTTTCATAAAAGGTTTGAGAATTGAAATAATATTTTCAAATTAAAGGCAGCTCTCAGGGGCTGGGGATTTAGCTCAGTGGCAAAGCGCCTGCCTGGCAAGCGCAAGGTCTTGAGTTCGGTTCCCGGTACCGGAGAAAAACAAAAATAAATAAATAAATAAATAAAGGCAGCTCTCGTGCCGTTAGTCCTATCATCAGTCATATCATTATAGTTTCTTGTTTGAGGCAGAGTATCTACAGCATTCTCCCCTTTACATTTGTCATAACCATGGAAAGTGCAGGAAGACCATCCCAGGAAAGTGCTGTTTACGAAGAGTGACAGATTTCTACTTTTTCTAGTTACAGAAGTGATATTAGGATGACATATGTCTTTCTCATTTTTAAAGTTAAATTCCTTAGAGATGCGCTAATTTGTCAGAGAGCCATATTTAAGATGTAGGTAGGGCTGGGAGCGTAGCTCCGCAGTAGAGAGCCTGCCTAACATGCACAAGGCCCAGGGCTTCAATCCCTCACACTGCAAAACATAAAAATAAATGAAGAGTAAATCTGTAGTCTATATTCTAGGCTTTGATCACATTCAAATAAAGTTGAAAGCTAAGGGAAGCTACGAAAAGAACATAAGCCCTTCTGAAAGCCTTCCACAGTGATCATCTCAAACATCACTAATACTTACCTATCCAAAGCTCTTGATAAACTGAAAATTCAACAGTAAGGCTGGCATTAAATGACTTTCAGAAAGTTCTCTGATGCAAGGATTTTGGAATTGAGGAGGGTCTGGCCTATTGCTAGTTTTGGCCACTCTGAGGGCTGCGCAGATACGGATGAACCGCAATCTAACGTCAGGGTTTTTAAAACACTGAATGGATATCACAGGCAAATTATAAAATACAGCCGCATAGGCTGGGAAGAAATTACGGTGAGTTAAAGTGATTAATTATTTAGCCCTGAGCCAAAGGTTTCAACTATTTTCTCAATCTCTATGAGTATTTAATAGTCTGGTAGGCACTTTTAAAAGCAGAAGCAAAAAGAGCAAAAAGTTGTCCGTGATGAAATACCAAGTTGAAAAGTATTCATTGCAATTATTATGAGCCAGTGATTGCATCCACTGGGTCAGACAGGCAGGCAGGTAAGGAGCAGCGCTCACTGGTACAGCTCAAGCCAATGATTCCGAAAGACCACACCACCCGGAGAACCTCAGCAACAGCTTGACTTCATTTCTCAGTCTCTGAGCAGATATAAACTAGAAGACCATTTGGTTATTTCTCATTATAAATAGACTGAAAGTTAAAAAAGGAACGGGGGTTAGAATTGTTTTAGTTGTATCAACAGATGATAAGGCAGACTGAAGTTTTCCCTTTTGCTCACTGCATAACAAATTTAACTTAGTGATGTGAATTTGAGTGGCTCGAGCTGCTCACTTACCTGGCCGTGCCGTGACTGTTTACAGAACACTCACTGTGTGCCAGAGTGCCCAAGGAGGCCATGCACACAGTGAGGAAGTAGGCATGAGCTCTGTTATGCGGTGTATAGGACAGGCAGGGAGAAAAAACAAGCAAGCAATAGTTTCAACTGGTGCCTTGTGCTTTGGAAAAAATACTTC